CTTCACTTCTCATGTGGATGTGTGGGAAACCATTCAGAATGCTGCTGGAAAGAATATGGGCCCTAAGAAAGGTCTTTACAGAACAGTAACTAGTAGGTACTCTGCATCTAACTTCCAAAGTATAGGAAACCCAAGATGCTGCCATCTTTCGCAAACTACTAGACATGGGGTCTTGCTATGATGAGTAACCACATTGCATTGGGTGGATAAGCAATGGTACTTTCCAGAGGAAAGTTCACATTTGCCAGGAGTTGCTATCTTCACAGAGAGCTAGGTCTCACCTGAAGAGTTAGTAGCTGGCTGCCAACTGTCATCTGACCTACTTATGGAGCAGATATTTTGCTAGATGAGTTGACTGAGCTAAGAAAGTGACACAATGATTAAGTTCAGGGAAGAGCTCCTTCTGGGAAGCCATATTTGCTTCTCTGCTCATATGTGTCTCGATTTCCAGCTCAATTATGATTTTGAAAGGCAGGCAAAATTTTACCCGTGTAAAGAACACAATTATGCTTCCTGATCCTCCTTCTTAAGGTTTTGATTGTGATTACAAGTTCCACATGTTCCTTTTAGTGCTCCATGCTTGGCGATTCAAATGTTTGAACAAAAAATTAGAGCATGAAAACAAACAGGTCAGAGGATCGCTAGAGAAGAATAATGAGCTAGAGAGTATAGATCAAAAACTAAAAACAGGATATAAGAGAAAAGGAGGTGGCATTTAAGATGGAACCTTGAAAAATGGGTTGAATTTGGAACTGTAGAAATGGAAGGGAAGGTCATTCTAGGGCCACTGGAACAATATAAACAAAGTCATAAAATCAGAATACTCAGAAGATTTTAAAGAGTCAGCAGTTTCAGAGGAGTTTGGTGTATATGGATCGTGTAGGACACCCTTTATATGCATGTACTCACAATCTTCTTGTTTCACCTTTATTCATGGAAGGCAGCCCATTAATGGTGGAGTTTGGGTGAAAAATCTGAGTTATGGTCAAGATTGCTGCTATTGCCCTATTTGACTTTCTTCTGGATACAAGCAAGTATCTGCTGTCCCACCAGTCTATAGTTACACAGGTCCAGCTGACTAGTTCTGGCCAATGTATCATGTGTAGAAGTGGTGTCACTTCCTGGCCAAAGCAATTTCCAGAATAATGTCCAGTACCTCTTCCCCTGCCATGTCACCTGAAAAGTTTGTATTTTCCTAACAGTATAGCTGTTGGACCTGGAGGCCGCTTGCATATTGGTGACTGAATCATGATGTGGAGAGTCAATTGAGACATAGAAAGTTATTAATTAAACTTTTCATAAGCAAGAATTAAATTTCTGGTGTTAAGCCATTGAGATTTGGGGATGTTCATTATGGCAGCATAGCCTAGTTTATCCTGACTAACATAGTTTTGCAAAAGTTACCATGAATCTTATGAAGACCATCCTAGACTTGCTTTTCTGAGGACACTAATCCTAAGCATGCTTCTATAAGACCAGAGAAAAATAGCTATCCCATTTCTTCCAGACTTCCTACACACATGGAAGCTTCTCTAGACAGCCACAAGAGTTTTGTGGCTTTATTCTGAAGCAATAATGGAGGAAAATATTGTTGACAGTCCTTTAGCTACATTGAGATTTGAGTAACCTGGAAAATGATCTCATAGTTTTGCATGGTAATAATTACTACCATTTAGTAAATTACTGAGATTCCAACATGTTAGTGGACACCTTAGAGCACTGGCTAATTTTACCTTTATGCTAGTCCTACAAAGTTTACATTATTACTCCCAATTTAACTTAAGAAAACAGACTCACCTATGTCAGTTAGAGGAGAACTAAGGTCCAAACCCAGAAATGTGTGACTCTAAACCCAGGCTCTTTTCATAGGGTTATCTGTGCTGACTGTCTGTGTTGTCCCCCTAAGGGCCATTGTCTTTCAACATAGGAATTAATTGGTCTTCTCAGGTATCCAAGGTCATATACTGCTAGGAGTCAGAACACTTGCTGCTATAATATTCTGAGTTATATGATTAAAAAAAAAATTTTTGGTAGTGGTAGTGACATTTTTATTTCCAAATGTATCATTTTTTATTGAGCTAGCATAGGGTTATACCGCTATATGACTTAGAAGTAAAGGGTCATACCTTTTCAGAGATGTGTTAACCACCCCATTCCTACCACAAGGTATTCCTAAATTTCAGGCATAGAATATCGGGCCTCTGAAAGACCCCAGTCTGAGCATCATGTTAAAAAAAAATCCATTCTTTAATGATACACCAAGTTCTGAAAAGTGACCACGGGAACCAGTCTAAGGCTATGAAAATCATGGTTTGAAGCAGGGTTCTCAAAGTGTGACCTGGAGGTAATCTAAGGTACCCATGTGTTTAAAATTTCTGTTCATAATAATAACTGGATATTATTTACCTTTTAAAATGCTCTCACATGTTTGCAATGATTTTTAGAGGTTACATGACATAGCCACAATTTTCTACAAAAGTTATTAAATATTCTCCTTTTTCCATTACATGCCCACATGAAGCCAGATTTTCCTTATACCTATTAACCAAAACAATAGATGGCAACAAATTGCATGAAAAAGCAGATGTAAGAACCACACTGTCTTCTTTTAAGTTAAATATTAAAGAAATTTGCAGAAAATATGAAACAAAGCCATTTTTTCCCACTTAACATTTTTTTAGACTCCATTGTTTTTTTCATAAAATTTTTTAAGGATAACATATAAAGGACTTATTATTTTTCTTCTTAAGGGAATTGATAAATTTCTAAATTTCTTGGTTTTAATTTCTAATAAAGTAAATATTGATAGCGATATATTCACATAAAATAAGGATATTTGGAACCCTCAATCTTATTTAAACTCTTAAAGGGGTTTGGAGACTAATAAACTTGATAGTAACTAGCCTAAGGGAAACAAAGAAGTAAAAGGGGGAAAAAGTTATGAAAGTACATGCAATTTATAAAGAAAACTTCCTTTTGGAGCTGGGCGCTGCATTTGTTGGATTTGTTCTGAGTGGAAACAAGGAATAGAAATGGGGCCCAAGAGTCAAAACCCAATAAGTAACTTTCAGCCTAATAAGAACTTTCCAAAATCCTGGCAAGGAGTGAGCTCTCCATCCCTGGAAAGGTGTAAGCCAAGTTCAGCAACCCATCTGATAGCAAGGACATTGCAGAGAAGTCAGGTACCAAAGGAAGCTGGTATAAGGTGGGATGGGCTATCTAACAGACTTTAAGATCCCTTCCAATGTGAGCATCTAACTTGAGAAAAGATCTAAAATGATTTTCACAAAAGTCAAGAGTCTTTGGGTCCAATTATAACCAAAGAGTCACTTCCTTGTCCATACGGGATACTAAAAGGAATGAGTCTCACAAGTTGACTTGTAATAACCCCTCACATTTGCATTGGGCTTTTCAGTTGACAAAACTCTTCACTTCTTTATTTATTGAGGCTCCTCCAACTGCAGCATGAACTAGATATTTCCCAGACAAAGCTCCAAGAGGCAACGTGAATCGCACCAAATGACGTAGCTGATGAGAGGTATATCCTCCTGGCATTCGGCAGCATATTCTTTCCACTGGATCTCAGCCGCCTCCCTGTTGGTCCAAGGATTGGGCACACACCCAAACTCTAAAGCCCAGCTCTGACATCTGCTCACTCCTCCTCATGTGGCGTATGCGTCCTGAAACTGTTTACCTAGCTCTGGCCCTGCCAAGGTACCTGGTGCAATATTCTTGCTCATGAAAGGGGAGTCTCTCACTCCCAGTTCCACCCACCATCTTGCAAATTCCATCCCAGGGAAACACTGGACTCTTGCGAAGCCTGAACTGTTCAACTCACCCGGGCACTCTAATGAGTTGTTTGAAGCTGTGTGTGAGTTGAACATTCAGGAAACTTGGGAGCTGAGACATCACAGCCCAGGCGTGCAGGCGTGAGGAGCCGCCCTTCTCTGCACAGCCTGCCCTCTGCTCACGTGTTACCACCTTCTTTGA